TCAGGCTGGAGGGTTCTCCTGGCTCATAGCGTGGTTGCAGGGGCTGGCCAACCCCAGATCAGGTCCGATGGCAGGCTGCTTACTCATGCCTCAAGAGCCAGCGTCAGAGGATAACAAGCTGCATGTAAACTCGGGAGAGCTCAAGTTTTGCCACAGTGTCCAGATAGGGGCTGCATGCAGGCCCCAGCTCCAGGGAAACTCGGCCTTCAACTGACCGACCACACACATCAGATCACAAAGTGGAGTTTACATCTGTCTGCCAAACCACTGAGAAGCGTGGCCTAGCTAAGTTGACATATCGCCTCGATCATCCCACGTGCCTCGGTGTGCAGTGGTAAAGATGTCAAGGGTCATTTGATGTCAAGAACTCCGCCTCTCAGCGCAGTCATTTCGTGGCGTCCTCGGGTGTCGTTTATTTTGGTTCCATGCAATTCTGGATAGGCAGCAGTCTGAAAACTCTGTGAAATTCCGTAGGAGAGTTCTAGAAATCTTAGTTTAATCCAGTGGTATTCACATTTGAAGTGTTATATTCCTCTTCAAAATATGATGTACAGTGAACCCTCGTTTATCGCGGTTAATCGGTTCTAGACCCTACTGTGATAAAAGAAATTCCGCGAAGTAGGATTCCTTATTTGTAAATCAATTATTGTCGTAGTTAGAGCATAGAGGACATGAAAAAACACCCTTTAGTCACCATTACACTCGTATTACCCAATTTATTAAATGAAAAAGGGAAAATACAGTAAAACATTTTGGACGTTACAATTATCATTTATTATATTATTTATGGCACCAAGCGTGTACAGTATGAGCCAATCAGTGGCAGTAATGACAGAGCATGCGCTGTTACGCAAAAACCACGATAGAGTGAAGCCGCGGAAGTCAAGCGGGAAGTGGCGAGGGTTCACTGTATTGCAAATTCATTTTGTATTTCAGTGACTCAACAAGGAAAAATTTATCACAGGTGATAAAGTTAAATATAGCTATGGTTAACTAATACTAATTCCCAAAAGTGAAAAGTCTGGTGGGAATTACCTACAAAAGCAATGCAAAGCCAGATAAAGTTAATAATTTAAAAAAAGCTTTTGGACAAAAATACTTCTGAACATCATGATAAATGTTATTTTCAAAGAGCTTCATATGTGATGCAGAATAATCTTGGAAGTAATATCAGATAGTCAGATATACCAAGATAGCGCACAACCACTGTGTTAATTCTGACAGCAGAACTGCACCCGTGGGTTTATGGGTGTAGCAAGCCTCATCTTTCTCCTACTGAGCAGCCGGTGGTTTCGAACAGTTGATGTTGTGATTAGCAACCCAAGGCCTAGTCTACTCTGCCCTCAGCATTCCTTATATAGAAAGATATATCATGGTTATCAAGTCTCTATACATCTGAATAGTAATAAAAATTCCATGAGTGAATTGTGTGAATCCCCCAGTTCAAACCTCTATTGCCTTTGATGTTTCAAAAGAAACAAAGTTGCCGCCAAATTAGCAATGAAAATAATAAAATCTGACATAACAGCAGGCATTTGGGATTTAACCTCAGGCAAATATCAGACATAAATTTTAAACTCAGAGCAAATTTGGTATTTCTTCAGATTTGACATGTAGTTTATAACAGTAAGTAAACCTTTTTAATAGCACTCCCCTCTTTATAAAACAAGCAAATCTGTTGTAGCTTTCCAGAGTCTCCAGGTTGTCAGGAATTTATCAGAGATCAGCACGAAATATTACTTGAGTTCTTTAATCAAAGACCTAAGGGCAAATACCTTACCTTTTTCCATTTTGGTTTTTATTTCAGAAATTCTGTTGAACCCCTGCCCTCCAGGCAGATTATACCAAGGGTTAAATTAACTTTCAACCCAGTAATCAGAGAAAAGATTGTTAACAGTGAGAAACTCAATATTTTCCTTATATGTTATTTGACATTAAAAGTTTCCATAATTTAACCCAGCAAATTTTTTAGCCACAGCATATATATATATATATATATCTTTTTCTGTGACTTAAAAAGTATAAAGATCTGTAACTATAAGCTTCAATTATTCCTTAATTCTATTTCATGTTAATAAGTTTTTAAAATCTTGCAGAAAAAAGTTAAAATCTTGGGAATTGTTTAAACCTATCTACTAACTGTAAGGAGCCCTGGTTGCGGAGTGGCTTATACATTCATCTAACTAGAAGGTCAGCGGTTTAAGTCTCCTAACTGCTCCACAGGAAAAAGAGGAGGCCGTTTGCTCCCATAAAGATTTTAAAGTTTTGGAAACCCAAAGATGTAGTTCTGCTCCGCCCCCTATTGTTGCTATCAGTCAGAACCAACACACTGACAGTGAGTTTGGTTTGGGTTCAGTGCATACTAACTTTAAAGATCCTGTGGGAGTGGCATCTGATCTCCAGACTTCACCAGGCAGACCACTAATCAAACTACCCTCAGGTGGCGTCCTCTGAGGCAGAGGTCAGACGGATCTCCACCCTCCAGCATTCTTCCTTAGGTCTGACACCAACTGTCCTACCCTCAGCACTCTATGCTGCACTTACTGCTTCGGACGCGGTCCATACTCCATTGTAATGGCCACACTCAATGGCCGTGTGTTGGGTCGGTTGGAAAAAAAAAAAAGAGTTGTAAGAGCCCCCAATAAAATAAAATAAAAACAAAGAAAATAGTTTGAAAATGATGATGGCAACATATGTACAAATGTTCTTGATATAATTGATGTATGGATTGTTATAAGAGCCCCCAATAAAATGATTTATTAAAATTAAAAAATTTAAAAAAGGAAATCATCACGATAGGCACTTCTCAGGTGAGTTCACAGAATACAATTCAGTATGGGAAACTCTGAGGATACAGTTCTTGTCTCAAGACGTCCTTCCTCCTAGTCCTGCGCACAGACATGCTAGGGGTTGGAATTCACTGGACTTGATAGGTTTGGGGGTTAAACCTTCCAGAGGTAGACCCCCAGCCTTTCTTCAACCAGCTGGTTGGGTTTGAACAGCCAACCTTTCAGCTCATAGTTAAGCACTATCCAACGGCGCCACCCCATGAGTCCAGATATCATCCCAAGCCTCGAGATCAAATTTTTGTGTTCATAAACATAATCTTGTTTACACTGATTAATTTTAAGGTAAGTGCTAGTCATTTAAATTTAGAATAAATTTCTTACTTTTTTGTGTGTAATTTGGAGGCCATAAAGACTTCATTTGGTAAATGTACAGAAAACGAGGTCTGGGAGGTCAGTGAGGGAGGATGGCCGCCGCCTCCCTGAGAATCGCCAGGTCAACAGTGGCTGCCCGTCTGCCTGAGAACTACGCAGTCTGAAGCTGACTCACACACCAGCTTTGCGGGAAGTTCTAGAAGCATTATTTTCAGAAAAAAACAAACAAATTTCCTACCAATGAGTCCCAAAGGAGGCAAAAGATAATGAAATTCATAGTCCTAAGAAATAGTATAATTAGATTACTGCATCTTCTATCAAACAAAGAAACGTATCCAGCGCTCCGGGGCAAGTAGAATGATTTTTTTTAATGATAGCTTATGTGTGTTTTCTGGCACACGGTTTTAATGTGTTCATTAGACAGTCCAAGAGGCCCAGGACCCTGAAAGCTCAAGCTATCCTGCACTAGTGAGGTCAAGGGTATATTCATGATAAATTCTGTAGAGCTTAATAAAAAATCCTGATTAAAAAAATGCATGTACGTATTTTGGTAAATCACATTTTGCATTCATTACAAAAACAAATCACATTGTGGAAGTCATTATTAAGTGAATGTCCCCAAAAATTCTGAAATTTGTCTTTCATCCCATTTACAACATAGAGCTACAGCACTCTGTTCTATGTAGTTATTTCTACACTCAAACTTAGAATGTTTAGAATTTGGCAACATCAGTGTTGTCCGGTCTATAGATTCATTGCTCGTGTACTTTATTCCTGCTTCACTGAAAAATTGGTATCCTGAATGTAATGCTATACATTAAATCATACCATTAAAATTAATTTTAAGATTATCGACAACCAGAGACTCACTGCAAAATCTGTACTTGGCATTTTGCCTGTGACCTTTTCTTTCATTTGGAAATGGTTTTAGAGGTCAGAGTGTGCTGCATTTAAGCTCCCTCGCTGACTTTGAGTCATTTCCAACTCCTTGTGACACTACAGGACATTGTGGAGCCACACCTCTGGGTTTATGGGTCTACCGTAACTCTTTTCGGCAATAGAAAGCCCCATCTTTTTCCTTGAGGAGGCTGGTGGGCTCAAACTCCTGACCCTGTGGTTAGCAATTCAATATGAAGCCCACTAGGCTACAAAGGCTCATTTTGCCTGCATAGCAGTTCTGTCTTGTTTAGCGGCTGGACATCTACAAGAGCACTCAAGGCCAAGAGGCAATGCAAAGGAAGCTTGTTTTTGTTCGTGGGCACAGTGGGAAGGCGCCCTAGAAGGCGCCGGGGGTGCTGCTGGATGCTGCCTCTTGGAGCCTTCAGGAAATCACTCACCACTTTCCCAGCTTCTTATAATTGCATTTGCGAAAAAAAGATGAATGACCTTGGAACCTGATATGCGCCCTCTGGGTTTTATTATCCATTGTTCTTGACTTCGGTTTTGGAAAATGGCTTTGGAAAGCCTTAATTTATTAGAACAGGCAGACTTCATTCTCAGTAGGACAAGAGTCTCATGAAATTTCTCTCTGAAGCATGTTATTTATTATGCATTAGCTTGCTGTAACATCCTTACCAATCAAGGTTATAGGGGGAAATGGGCAGTTTTATGTTTAGAATGCTTCTCAACAACAACAAGAATACCTTGTTGCTCGAGACATTCTATGTAAGGGGTTTTGAAAATCTGAACCTTAATAAACAATGTACTTCGTGGCTAAAGTTCTCCATTCCAGTGCCCCTGCCTCTGTACCATGCACCATCACCATGTGCTTTGGGGGCCCGAGAAGCAGCAGCCGCGCCCTTCACCCGTGCTGACTCTGTGTGTCTTCTCTCTCTGCAGAGACTCTCCTTGATGACTTCCTCCTCACGTACACCGTCTTCATGACAACGGACGACCTGTGCCAGGCGCTGTTAAGGCAATATCCTTCCTTACCTTCGGGGTGCTGTGTCATCCTTCTCTCAGACAGATGTCTCCCATGAGGAGTGAACTGCCTCTCGTCATTCACTCACCCCCACACTAGTGTGTGGACATGTTAAGTATTACTGTCATGGCAGTCGATGTGAAAGATGAAATGAGACAGAACCAACCAGGGGTGCTGGTGATGGCGGGCGGCTCTTTCCACAGTCTGCATTGTGGGTGCGTTGGATGGTGTATGTCACGCGTTCTTAGAAGCCATGCCTTACGATTGCTTTGAAATCTGGAGGGTCATTTGGCCTATCGAGTAAGCCCCAGAGTCAAGAAGGTTGGGTAGGTTGGTAATACCCTGTTTCCCCGAAAATAAGACAGTGTCTTATATTAGTTTGTACTCCCAAAGATGCGCTAGGTCTTATTTTCAGGGGATATTTTATTTTTCCATGAAGAAGAATACGGTACACATTTATTGTTTATTGATTTATGAAAAGAGACCTCACACTTCCTGTCTGCTCCGGCTGCGCTGCGGCCAACAGTGAGCTGCGTGGCAGTGCCTGCTGCTACAGTCCAGAGCCCAGAGTTACGGTAGCTTTGGGGGAGGAGTTATTTTCGGGGAGGTCTTATTCACAGGGGATGTCTTACTTTTGGGGAAACAGGGTATCACCCAGTAAGTGGATTTAGAAAGCCACTTGCCGGTAGCTATGTGACGTCATGTTTCTGAGTATGTGTCTCCAGAGAACACCAGCCATTCCTCCACACGTGAGACCAGAATACCCCCCGGAATGAGCTGTCACCTTCCGACTTTGTCACTGCATGCTCTTTTAGAGTGGTGGTTGTGACCGGAAGGTGAATGGCTGGTGAAGCAAGCCTGACAGTTTATTCATGAGGCAAAAGAGGTGTTTCATGGAAACACGGAAAAACCAAACTGCAAAGCCAAGTTAACTTACTGAAAGCTTTCAAATGGGGTTCTTGCCCCCTCTGGTTAAATAAGATGCTTCTGAAGCATGTGCAGTAAGCTCTTAAAGTATAACGTGTCCATAAAACCAAACTGACAATTCCGCTATAGCCCACACGAAGGTTTTTGGGGAATGAGGTTGCAGGGTGGGGGTGTACTCCGAGGGGGCTTCAAAAAAGTTCATGGGCAATTTGCATTATGTCATCATTCCTTTTATCCATAACTGTTAAAAGCCTTCTCCTTGTGTGCTCTAAGGATGATGTTCCTGATTATCCTCTCTTCCTGTCCGATTGTCATAGCTTTCTCCACACGTTATCAGAGTTCCTGCTTAAAAGAATACTGTAGGACTCAATAAGTAGATTCTGTTCATAAATATGTGAACTAGAAATGGAGTTTACTTTCTGATCTGTGAATCAAAGACGGCCTGGTGGCCCTGTGGTTTAAGCAGGGGCTGTTAACTAAAGGGAAGATCAGGGTGTCTGTTCTCATCGAGAGCGACAGCCTCGGAAACCATGGGAGCGGTTCTGCTCTGCCCCGCGTGGCTGCCATGAGCCAGCACTGTCACAGGAGCCAGGGTTTGGTACTGGCTTTGGTAACCATTGGTCTCCTAACCATGGGCCAGCAGTCTGAAACCACCAGCTGATCCTGAGGCGGCTTCCTGCATAAAGAGAGAGCAGTCTGAGAAACCACGGAGCACTCTACCCTGCCCCTGGGGTCCCTGAGTCAGAACCGGCAGTGAGCTTGGCTTTGGGTTTGGTTTGTGTAAGTAAACCAAGCTACTGACCATTTGACACTTTTTGTAATCAGTCCACAAAACTGATCTTGAAACATAATTTTGAATTTAGAAATTTTCAGTACTATGCATAGAGTGCTCCCATTGTTTCCAAGTACATTGTTCCCAAGGGCTTCAGTAAGGGGTACATGGTTTGGAATCCCTCCATCGTTGAAAGTATTGCGGAACTCTATCTGTGAGCTAATTCCATCTACATTTTGTCACTATCATGTTACCCGAAGAATTGCCATCCAATGACAAATGTAAAGTGTGTTCTACAGAAAATGAAGCCCCCCAAACAAGCCTTTGTCCTCCAGTTGATGTGGGCACACCGCGCGTGACGCTGGAGGAGAGAGTGGAACTGCCCCACCGCGCGCCCTCCTTAGGAAGCAGACTGCACGTTGCTCTCCTGTGGATGAGGATCCGGTTTCCACTTTGAAGTTGAATGCTTAACCACTCTAGAACTTCTTTACAGCAAGTTAGATGCCTTTAAATTATTGTTTTTAATTGTGAGTCTACTATTATAATGGATAAGCAATCCATTCTTAACTTAGGAGTGAATACATAAATCCTAGGATGTACCTGAAGACTCTAAAAATTTTATTTGGATTTTAAGAAATCTGAGCTTGTGAACAAGAGTGTTACATGAAAATTTTAATTCAGATCCTTCCCAAAAATACAGCTCCCTGCCATGGAGTCAGTGCCAGCTCACAGCGACGGTAGAGGGCAAGGTAAGCCTTCCCCTGTGAGTGGCCACAACTGTAACTCTTCCCAGGAGTAGACGCCCCTCTTTCTCCCGTGGACTGGCTCGTGGTGTCATCCAGCTGGCATTGCAGTCGGCAGCCCATTGGGCAGCCAGTGCACCACCAGCCCTTTGATTGCGTATCTAAACCCATGGCGTCTTCAACGATGTGAGCCTGTATTCTTCCTGTTGACTATTTCTGTGTATTCACATATACTTTGCCTTTTATGAGTGAATATAAACCACAGACAAAATGGCATTCATTTTTAACCGGAGATGTTTTTATGCATATTTCAGTAAGGCATTCATATCCCACTACCACCAACTTCTAAAGGGTGATTCCATTTACTTCGTTTCCCCCTTGATTGTTTTTAAACATTATTTATTGATTTGGGCCATATCTTCTGGTTTGGGAGTCTTAGATAGATATTGTTATTATCATAAATGCCTTTCTGGTTTTATTATCATTTGAGAGCATTACTTAAGCTTATAGAGCCCTGGGTTCATTGTAGTGTACTGAAGTTTGGATTTTTACTCTATGCCTTACCTACTTACTACCTGCTGCCTACTTCCCAGCTTAATTTGCAAAGCAGTGTAATCTTGTCACACTGCTGCTGGAATCATTCCTACTCATAATGACCTTTTCGGGCAGAGTGGAGCTGCCTCCTGGGAGCACTGGTGGCACAGTAATTATGAGTTGGGCTGCTAACTGCACGGTCTGCAGTTTGAGACCCCCAGGCACTCCATGGGAGAAAGATGAGATTTTCTACTCCTGTAAAAGTGAGTCTCAGAAACCCACAAGGGCAGTTCTACCCTGTCCTACAGGGTCACTGTGAGTCAGCAACCACTCTACAGCAGTGAGTTTAGTTTGAGAGCTGTCTCATAGGGCTCCCAAGAGTGTAAATCTCTGAAGACACTGACTGCCACATCTTTCTCCCATGGCATAGCTGATGGGCTTGAACCACCATCCTTTCATTTAGCAGGGGAGCTCTTTACCACTGCCCTACCAGGTCCCCTCCCAATATAATGTCGTATGGTCAAATTGTAAAAGAATGTATGACTCAAATAAATAATACTCACTGAATAGAGAAGGGCGGTTGAATTTCCAGCCCTTGAAATCATCCTGTCCTGCTGGGCAGTAATTGTAGAGCACATCATCTATGCAGCTTTACTAAAGACTCATATCTTTGTCTCAATATGTGACCTAAAAAATTGTTACCATTTCCTAGCTTTCCAGCTTTCCCCCCATATTAATGAGGTCATTATAATTGCAGAAAAGGACATTTGCACAGTCGAGAGAATGTAGGACAAGTCTCTATATTATGCCTCTCAAGAAAGAAATGAGAAGAACTAGATAACGTGAGCAAACTCATTGTGTGGTTTTCTGATTTTATTTTATAGATGAGAATCAGATAGCCTTACTGTAAGTTCCACACAAGGGAGAGCTGGTGGGGAATGTTTTTAACGGACTTGATGGCAGTGAGAGAGAGGGCTAATGAAATTACTCATACAAATAAGCACGGTGGACAAAATGTATCGTTCTAAATACACCTTTTTCTACTCAACACCATGTCGCCGAGGCCCTATGTGAGAAAGTACTCGCTAGCCCATCATCCTTCTAGCTGTAGAAGCTAGTCCATTAAATGGAGACAGTACTTTCAAGAGAACTGGTGGTGCAGTGGGCAGAGCACTTGGCTGCAAATTGAAAGGTTGGTGGTTCAAGTCCAACAACCTCTCTGTGGGTGCCAGATGTGGCAGTCACTCACATGAAGATTCATGGCCTTGGAAACCCCATCTGGCAGTTGTACTTGCTCCTACGAGGCAGACAGCCGTGAGTAGGAGTCAATTCAGTGAGCGTGGGTTCAACTTGTTTATTTAGTTAGTAATGACTTGGATAACTATACCAAATTGTGGAAGTGTTTAGGTAATTTCTTTAGTTTTGTTTTCACATTTTATTTTGATGACAGTTAACACTCAATTTTAGCCATATCTTTGCACACTCATCCAATTCTTTTCAAATAAATTCCTAGGGGTAGACATTTGAATCATTGCAAATTGTATTCCAGAAAGGGCCCACTAATCTGTGCTTATTTGAGACTAGCTTGGAGGTAGGTCATTGGGGAAGAAAGATGAGGCTGCTTCCTCCAATAAGGAGTCACAGTCTCAACAATACTAGGGAACAATTCGACTGTCCTACAGGGTGACTGGGGGTCAAAGTCAACTCTCCAGAAGTGGGCTTGGTTTTGAATTTTTCAAGTGGTCACTAAGAAACTCCAGTGGCGTTGTGTGTGAAATGTGGGGCTGCTAACCACTGGTCGTTGGGGTAGACCCACCAGCCGCTCCTTGGAGACGCATGAGACTGTCTGCTCCCTGACAGATTTGCACTCTGCAGTGTGGATTTACAGGAATCCGCTGGAGCAGTTCCAGCTGATCCTATGTGATCGTTAGGGGTTTCATTTGTCTTAGAGGTCACTGGCTTTACAGGATATGAACGTCCGAGGGTTCTGGACCATCTGGCCTAGTTCGGATGGAAATCTCATTGAATTAATATTCACCTACATTGTGGGGCCAGAGTGTGGTGTCTCACTCCTGGCTCACGGCCTGCCAGCCTGCATACCTAAGGTATTTTCCTGAGTCTGCTTTTGTTCTTTTGGTACATGCCATTGCTCCTCTCACACGTGTGTTCTTCTTGCATGTGTGCATGTTGTAGATTCTTTGAAAATAGAGTTTAGCATGCGATGTGCAAAGACTAAATGGATCTCTTCAGTTTTTTGTTTTTTTCTTTACTTTCAACAATGTAATGTTATTTCTTAACCACTTGCACCTATTCTGCTAAGAAGTATCAAGGCAAAGAAGACAACTCAGACGTCCCTTGTAGGAAGCGTAAAGTCCTGCATCTTGTTTCCCAGTGGATTGCTCTCTACAAAGACTGGTTACATGAAGATGAACATTCAAAAATGTTTTTAAAGGTAATATAAGACTTCTTGATAGTCTTTGATGCCAAATGATTGGTCTTATTACCAGTTATGCATTTCAAAGATCATGTTCAACTTTGTTGATCGTATTCAAGATGTGATTTTAAAAAAGTGTGAAACTCATTTTGACTACTGAGCCCTGATGGTCCCTACAGAGATAGAAACTTGCTCTTTTACATTTTAAATCACTATGAAAAAGTAAAGTGGAAGACCAATTTTAAAAATAATTTATTTGTATGTGCTTCTTGTTGAGGATTCGCACAGCAAAACACACAAGAAATCCTACATGGCCATCAGTGACGTGATTACCCCGAAGCTATGTAACACCTCCGTTTCTGAAATGTCCCCCATATTAGCATCAATGGGCTACCATCTCAGATTCCTACCCAGTCCTTCAAGTTGCTGTTGTCAATTTGATCCCATATGCACGGTTCTTAAGAGAGCACAGTGCTCAAGGCAGACATTCTTTAGCAGTTAAGCTAAGCTATGGCTTGGGTTTAGGATGTCGGGCTATTTTTGGTCTCAGGTGTAAAGATCGTCTCACTGCAGCAGTCTTGCAGGTTTTCCCAGACTCCGTGGCACCAGATTGCTTCAGTTACAGGACTGTATGACTTCTTAATATTCTTTGGACTCCGTGAGAATGTGAAATTCTGTTCTTCTATAGAACCCTTGATCAAACTATTAAGTAATGATAGCAGGGCATGAACCAGTTCTGCTGTTCTTGTAGCGAAGGATCCAAGTGTTTCTGGAGGCAATTAGCCATTCTACTAAGTCTACGCTTCCACTGGTAGAAAGGTAAATTCCCCTCCGTTAAGGGGTTAGAGTCCTGGTGGCATAGTGGTTAGAAGTTGGGCTGCAAATCTGAAGGTAAGCCATTCAAACCTACCAGCCTCTCCTTAAGAGACAGATAGAGGTTTCTACTCCTGTGAAGAGTTACAGTTCTAGAAACTCTAGAGTTGTAGAAACCACCCGCAAATGGCAGGGGCCGTTCTACCAAGTTGGCATCAGCTGAATGTCAGTGAGTGAGAATTTAAGGTTATTTTATGTAAGTCTGGAATTTTGTTTGCATGTGAAGTAGTAAGTTACACCAAAACATAGTTCAAAACCTGACACTTTTTAATGTACTGAGGTTCACGTTCGACTTACTAGCTTCCGTCGGGTTGACTCTGATTTACAGTAACCCGTATGTATCAGTAAAACTCTCCTCCATCAAGCTTCGGAGGGCAATTGTTTGGGAAGTAGATCACCAGGCATGTCTTCTGAGGGGGCTCTGACTCCATTCAAATCTCCAGCCTTTCAGTTAGTAGCCAAGCGTATTAATAGCTTGTACCCCCGAGGGACTCCAGATTAAACTAACCAGTTCCATATATATATATATGTATGTATGTATGTATGTATCTATCTATCTATCTGTAAACCGATTGGCTGGAAAATTTTGTATCAATTCAAAAATCTATTAAGATATGCTCTGAAACATTGGCAGGACATGGTATGTTTTGAGAAATTTAAATAATTCTTCATAAAATTAATAGTCACTTAGATTTGTCTTTGGGAGATAGAAAAGCTGCTTAATTTGTCTGTAATCATTAATAGGCACCGCTATCTTTTCTACCTAGCTGATCCCTGCAGATGGTAGCACAGAGCTATATTCCGTGACCACTGAAGCCATGTGAAGGGTGTGGGTTCCTAAGGAGAAGCAGTCGAATGGGATTTGAACAGTGGGCCAGGGGCCGGGGGCCTGTTTCAGAACAGGAACGTGCCCAGACTGATTGTGCCTTTCATGAAGGAACCCACTTTGAGTTCAACCTTCCGTTGTCATTTAGATATCCCATTAAAAAGTTGTTTAATCAACACGGTGACCACATTTCTTGTTGTTTTTCAATACAGTTGGTTATTTTAATTCAATTGCCTTTGTGGTTGTTGTTCTCTTCCAAATGATGATGTGGCTATAGTAGGGTGGTGGGGGATGGAAACAGAGGAGCCTAGCAGTTGCGTGAGCGGCTCAGAGGTCTCCCTGGTACTTGGTGTAACATCTCCCATAGGCAGGGTCGCCATTGCATGAGTCTCAATCCTTACTACGAAGTGGCCATCAACCATGTCAGTTGCCGTTTGTGTTTTGTCCCCAGACCATATACAGGAATGTACTGGACGATGTGTATGAGTATCCAATGCTTGAAAAAGAATTGAAAGAGTTTCAGAAGATCCTGGGGATGCACCGGCGTCAGTAAGTGTTCTCTTAGTGCAGTTACTGAAAGAAAGCAACTCCCACTGGGACGGCATCACGGGTGTCTTCTGCGTAAAACTGGTGCTGAACCTTTTGATGCTGGGGTTCATCTTGATTCCTTAGCGTTTGTAGTAGTAAATTCTGTATTTTTGTTTTTATATTTCAAAGTGAGTAAATAATGAAATCAAGCCTTTGACTTTTTGGGGGTGCTATTTTCTTTTAACACGTTTTTAACACTGGTAGAAATAAACTGGGCCATAACAACCTATGTACATAAAAAACTCATCCCTTGATAAACTATCATTTACTTTTAATGATCTTAAGTATTAAACTTGCCTCTGGAATAGGAACTTAACGCCTATTTATGAAGTATTTGAGAACGCATAGGAGCTATGTCTTTTTTAATTATAGTTTTTTGGTATATAAAATCACATGTAACACATATTAGCAAGTGTTATACATTGCACTTGGTAAAAATGCACACAGCAGAACACTTCATTTAACAATTTCTGCATATAATCTTCTGCAGAAGACCTCTTTCATGTTTAAAAGCAAGGGTGGTATTACTCTGAGGACTAAGGCTGTGCCTAAGCCAGCCATGGTATTTTCATCCGACTCGTGTGCGTGTGAAAATTGGTCACTGAATAAGGAAGTCAAAGAACACTTGATGCTGAAGAACACGGAAGTGCCCGGGACTCCCGAAGCGCAGACACTTCCAGCTTGGAGAGCGTGTCCCGAGCGCTCCTTGGAGCCAGAGTGGCAAGAATTCATCTCATGTGCTTTGACGTGTTACCAGGAGAGCCCTGTGGGGATTGCAGAACCTCTGCCCTGAACAATTCGTGTAGGAACCGGTGGTCAGGGAAACTCATTTGCCACGCACCTTTCCCCCTCAAGTGCAATATCGCGTTGAGGAAGAGGAAGGAAAAGAAACCCGATCCATCTCGACTCCTTCATATCGGCAGTATCTCACTGCACTGCGGATTGACCAGCCTCCCTCCTTATTAATGCAGTAAAGAAAAAGAGAAGGCATGATTTCATTTTTAGATAGAACTAACAAAGTTCATTCTAAATGAAAATAGCACTGTGTTTCTTGACCAAAACCTCTGCCTAGAGTCTGAAAACCACGCAGCTTTGACCAGAAACACATGCAGGCACGCACGCACCCCAAATAAAGAACCGGTGTTTATCTGGGTTGGGGTGAAGACTAACTTTGTGTCCTCTCCCTTTCAGCACTGTGGATGAATACTCGCCCCAAAGGAAGGTAAGCCGGCTCCCTGTGCTTCTTACCTGAGGGGGCTGCTGAGGTAGTGCAGTCGGCAGAGCGCGCTTGGCTCCCAGGGCAAGTCTTCAGGACAGGAGGAAACTGCCCCAGCGAGCAGGGCCCGGTGCAGGAGCCCGGCTGCAGCTCGCGGCACCTGCCTGCTGCCTCCAGGTTCCCTGTGAAGGGCCAGATCCCACCTCAGCCACGTGCCCTCAACTTTAGGACTTCCTGCATTATTTCCTGGGGCGTTTGCACTCACAGCTCACTTAGTATTCCCAGAATGGTATAAATTAGAATTAAAAAGCACTCGGAGGGGGTGGGGCAAAGCAAGACTTGGTGGTGAATAGAGCCGTGTTGGAAGGGAAACGGTTGTACTTTTTAACACGGCACAGGAGCGATGGTAGCAAGCGTGAACTGCTGTTCCCTGTGCAACCTGGGTGTGCGTCGACTTGGTGAAGGAGGGTGGGGCATATGAAATGGGTTGTCAGCCACAGATCGTTTCCGGTTTTAACTTTAGGTTTACCTCTATTTTATTCTTTAAACGTTGTGTTGTGAAGTGGGTGAAGGTTTATAGAGCATCTGTTCTCCATTCGGCAACCCACCCAGCCTCCCACGGCCCTGCCCCTTTCCACCGTTCTCCGCCCCTTTGCCCTCTGATTGGATTTCACTTTCTCTACCACCCAAATAACACCTTCGGCCCTCTAACCTGTGACTTCCCGGGCCCCACCCCGCAGCCACGGACGTCTCATTGTTGTTTCATAGCAATGGTTTTGTACAACACCTGTCCTCTCCCGATGGACTTATTTCACCCAGCAGCGCGTCCTCCAGGCTTGTCCATATCATGAGGTGTTTTGCACACTCATCTTGTTTTCTCAGTGTTGTGTGCTTCCCTGTGGTGCGGGTGGACCCATGCTTGTTCATCCATTCTTCTACCGATGGGCATTTAGGTGGCTTCTATCTTCTTACTAGTGTGACGCGGCCTGCAGTGAACATATGTGTGCATGTTCCTGTCCATGTTACCCTGATCTTCAAGGGTGTGTGCCAAGTGGAGTGACCCCTGGGTCCTCTGATATTCGTAGTCCTATTTTTGTTTTTTTCAGGAAGAGTCATCCCGCTTTCTACAGTGACTGTCCTGTACAACAGTCCCACCAACGGGATGGGAGGCTCCCGGTCTCACCACACCCTCTCCAGCATTTGCTGTTTTGTTTTACTGAGCTTTGCTATTAGCATGGGTTTGACATAGTACCTCGTCGCTGTTTCGATCTGCATCTCTCATTGCAAGCATTTCTTCATGTGCTTGTTGGCTGGCTGGCTTCTCTGGTAGATTGTCCGTATCCTCTGCCCATGTTTGATTGTGTTGTTCATCCTTTTTTCCTGAGGGTGTCGAATCTTTTTCATAGGCTTTAGAGAATAGTCCCTTGTCCAAATAGGTTGCTGCCAAATCTTTCCCCAGTCTGTGGCTTCTCTTTGGACTCTGTGGTGAAGTCTTTAGATGCACATCAATGCCTAATTTTTATGAGGTATCACCCATCTATTTTGTCTTTTGTGTGTGTATGTGTGTGTGTTTTGTTAGGTTTGGTAATGTGTTTATGTCATGCATTTGAGCAACTAAGTTTGTCCTTATTTTTTTGTTGGTGATGTTTAGAGTTTTTAGGTTTTATATTTAGGCCTTTAATCCAGCTCGAGCTAATTTTTGTGTTTGATGGGAGGCGTGGACCTTATCTCATTCATTTGCACACGGAGCTCTGATTGGCCGGCACCATTCATGGCCAAGGCCATCTCTCCCTCATTTGATGTGGAGTGTTAGGCCCTGTGTCAAAAACCAGTTGTCTGTGTGTTGAGGAATTTCCTTCTGGGTTTTCAGTTTTGTTCTATTGGTCTGTCAGTGTACAGGTGCCAAGCCATTTGGCTACTGTGTCAGCCCCATTTTTGGTCTACACCGATATACCAGGTTAATGATAATCATAACCATACATCGGTTCCACTTAAGGAAGTCAGCAGAAGTATGAAATGATCCCAAAAGCCGCTTCTCTGAAAAGGACAGAAGGTGGAACATCAGACTGTGATAACGAACTTGAAAGTTGGTGTTAGGATGGGGCAACGATGGCCTTTCTCTAGGGGAGAATCCAGAGACATCGGTAGTGGCCAGAGGTGGAAGATTGTGGACTGAGTCTCGGGCACGTTGCAGGAATAATCACAGGGGCGTTTTGCCTGCGCTGACCATGTCCCAGGCCCATCATTTTGTTCAGAGTCCCCACCTTCCCATGCATTCACTGAGGCAACTCCCAGTTTATTTGTCCGCGCTTGGAGGGGTGGAGCTCCTCTTTTTAAAAATTGGCTAACTCTCTTGGAACATGTTATAAACAGCAGTGGTTTTTCTAAAGGGCAGGAATACATTCATTCATTGTTTGTTCTCTTCCCCCGCTTCTCACAGAATAAAGCCCTTTTCCACCAATTCAGTCTGAAGGAGAACTGGCTCCAGCACAGAGGCGCTGTGACGGAAACAGAGGAAAGTGAGTATGCTTTTAAGTGAGCGTTTGGGGTGGGAGGTTCGAGCCACCGTCCTCTAACAAGAATATACAGACCTGCCTCGCACTGCCCTCTGAGAATCAGCCATGGTGGTCTGTCTTCTCTTGCTTGGAACATGGTGATTTTCTTCGGTCACAGCATACCATCATCAGAAAGAGCCAAGCACTAGAAAAGGAATCACACTGAGTGAAGTAAGGGGGTCACTGAGAAGAAGGGAAACTCGCCATGAGATTGATATGGTGGCAACAGGGGCTTCCAGAGATCAAAGCTTGCGAAGGTTGCCTCCGGGGCAGGCAGCATTTCATGGTGTCTCACAGAAGCGGCCGCGAACTGGGGCCAACTCAGCAATGTCCACTAACAACAAGGAGAGGCCAAGAGTAGTTTTCATTTGGGAAGTAGGGACAGGGCACTGCAAATGCTCCCAGACTTTCCTGGGGCAGCGGTGTCAAATGGGCTAGCGACCCACCCTTGTACTCCCGAGACAGTCAGCCTGTGAGGAACTGGAAATGTTTCCAGAGCAAGGACACACCGTTTTGGATTGAGTCAGTCCCTGAGGTGTCGAGAAGAAAATCTTGGGAAGAATCATGCAAGGGAAGGTGTGCAGCCGAACTTCTTCCAAGGCGAGGCGATGCCCTCCAGCCAGGAGCTCCACGCTCGGTGCTCCTTCGTGTCTGAGAAGGCCCGTGGTCTCCCCTGAGGAGGGTGCTCATTCAACGGAAAGGGAACCCCTCATCATGCTTCCTGCTCTTTTAGCGTTAGCATTTTGTAATAGAAGAAAACATGGTAGCAACAGTTTCCTCCCTGTTAGGTAAAGCCCGAATCAGTGGAAAGCTGGGAAGCACAACAAATTAAACCGTCCTGATCTGGAAATGTTCTCTTTTAACTTGCCTTTCTCTCATGTGCTGAACTCTGGCCATCTTCCTCGATTTCTTGAACAATGAAATGATACCAATGTTACAAGGGGCCCCTTCTGCTCGGTTAGCCACTGCCATCCCGTCCCTGCCTTCTCGGGCTGAGGAGAATTGCTCCCTCGGGTCTCCAGGGCTGTAAATCCACACGGACAGTCTCAGCTTTCCCTGGAGAAGCGGCCGGTGGATTCTAACTGCTGACCTTGTAGTTAGTGTCTCGCTGACTGGTCCCTCTGTAATTGCTCTCAAGTGTTGGTTGATAGCATGGAGGATGGCCAGAGCTCTGTGGTGGGATGCCCAGTATTGTCTGCGCCTAGTGAGCAAGCAAATGACAGGCTCACACCTCCGGACACGTTCCTGGCGGGCCTTCCTAGGCTGTGTGTCATGTAATGCAATGATGTTGTTTTCCAAGCTGCGCCTCAAAGCCTCCGAGGGGTTTCCTAGCCCCTGGCCTCGTTGTGTTTCGTTTATTAAGCAAGCTACCTCTCATCGAATGGTTTGTAGACAGTGTCTTTAGCCTTGCTCAAAACACCATTTTCTGTCAATGGAAAAAGGCTTTTTCTGGTCCCTCACCACTCTCTTGACAAAAATAGCAAATAGCTCTTGGTTAGACGTGGTTATTGTACTGACGTTCCCAATGGAACTTAATAGAATGGCAGTGCCTCCTTCGGCATGTGGACAGTGAGGTTCTGGGCACGTCAGCTCATAGCTTGGCTCTGACCTCATTGGCATTTCTGTGAAAGGTCCCAGTGTTTATTTTTTGTGACGCCATGTAAGCGGCACATGACTTCTTTCCCGGAATTGCGCTCTTTCCATTAGTAGCTGTTGCAATGTAGGAAACAGGACCTTCTAAGGATGCTGTTGTAAAGAAGCAAGCTAGGGGCGTAAACATTCAGCAAATAATGGATCAGTCATCTCCATTGCTATTAAAATAGCTTCTGCTAGTCAAGTCCTAAAGAAGGAGAAAAATACTAACCCAGAGCCCATTCACCCTAGCAATGCAAGTCCTAACGATTGACACCGCGGATAATAAAAAGGGAAGTAAAAGGGAGAGCGGGTGACGTCCCTCTGGGACCTTCACTCACCCTCACCTTGCTCGAGAGGGCCATTCTTAAATCATGGAGAAGGCCGTACAGTGAACAAGAAGGAAGCGGCGCTTTCCGGACAAGCCGATGCACACTTCCAGCGGTGAAGCGTGGTGCTCTGGGTTGGGCCATGGCGATGGTCAGACAGTCTAGGTGTCCAATCCTGTCGAGTGTAAAGTGAAACTGTGTGGGCTGGACAGCTGAAAGAGGCTGCCTCGGGCTTCTCAAAAATGCAGTGTGTGTACCCCAGACAGCACGGTGTCAGGGTCAGACCGTCTCCAGCATGAACACACACGAGCCTGACTTGGCCTGTGATAGAGCACTGCCAGGAACCCCATGTTAGTTCATGAGCTTTACAACTTCTCCGCCTCATGCATTTACAGGCACCTGCCCTTGGATGGCGAGGCGCTAGCATATCTGTAAATATAGCTGTGTGCCTTTTTAAATATGCAAAACAACGGCAAGGGAGGTGCCTGGATTTGAAACAGTCTGGATCCCCGGCCGTGATCAACTGACTTATCACTTCTTTGGGCTTGTGCAGTATTCTGCCACGTGTACGTAACGGAGCACTCCTATGTCAGCGTGAAGGCGAAAGTGTCGACGACCACCCAGGAGATCCTGAAAATTGTGGCAGAGAAGATCCAGCATGCGGAAGAGGACCTGGCTCTAGTGGCCGTCGCATTCTCTGGGGGTAAGTCACATTCTGTCCCCAAACCGTCATCTTTCCGTGGCCCACCTCTGGAATGGGATGGGGAGAGAGCTGGCATGTTTCCAGAGTAAACGTGCAGCTTGTCCCTTCTGGGTCCGCAGCTGGCTGGCTGTGGTGACAATAAGAGGCTGCCTGTCAGGGCTGTTTCCATGACAACAGTTGGGTACTGCTGGGCACTGAATCCCCTCCCCAAGAAGGGACTGAAGGGCAGGCTGGTGTTTTGCAATCATTAGGAAGCTTTTCATATTTCTGTGGTCTAGATAAGCCCCCTATTTTCATAGTTAAATTAGCTGGGGGAAATTGGCAAAGGATGCAATTACTTTAGGACATAAAGAAACAGAGACCAGAGCGAGTCACGTTGCCGGCTTACAATGCTGTAGGGAAAGACTTCCTGTCGCGGGGATGCGAACTGTGCAATAAGCCAAAGCTCACTGGCAGGGTCCCTCTGGGGACACGTGGGGCGCGAGACGTGGGTCCAGCCCTCCGCTGGGCTTCATTGATCTTCAGAGAATGGGTTATTGTCCGTTTTGAGTCAGATCACTCCGGTTACAAGCTGACATTATTGATCCACACAACCGGAGCAGACCCTTCCTTTGCACCAGAGCCTGCCAGCCTTCGCTGCCGCTGGTCTCCTTTTTGGCCGGCGGTCTTTAGTTAAGATCGCTCCAACCCCGAGAAAAAATACGAGGAAAGCGCCCTTCGCAGCAGTCCATGGAAACTACAAGTATTATGTGAGCTCATCAACCAGTGAGAGGGCATGCAGGGGAGTGGGCAGGGGGGAAAATCCTGTTTATGTGCCCTTTGTTCTAAATCTACAGTGGCGGGGGTCGGGGGGTGGGGTGGGGGTGGGGTGGAATATCAGAATACATGGGCGTTCATGTATTAGGTGACAGAATATTGTTCCTGTTGCCCTGTTACTCAGAGGAACCAGCCAATTATATATGCAAGCAGATACCGCCTTTCTCCCTGGGCTTGCTAAATGAGATTCTCCCCTCCATATCTGCTCTCCCACCCCCACCCCAGCTCACTCCCCCTGAGTACCTTCCCCGTGTAACCCACAAGAAAATAGTGTCTCAAAGAAAGAGGGCTCGCCTGCGAGAAGCTGGTGGGCCAAATGAAATAGTCCTACGTTTGCCTGCAAGGTTCCAGGTGTGTGATCCTTGTCTGCGGGGTTTCAGGAAATTTGTAAGCACATTCCATTCCCTTTTCATCCCAGTTGTGTGACTGGGATTATTAAAAGACCTTGGATATTACAGTATCAGGGTTCATCAAAACCAGCATGTGCCCCCCCTGCCCCCCCAGAAAGCAATCGCTGGGCCCCCATTGTGATGGCGGGCAGCCTTCCTCCCAGGCTGATGCTGATTTATCTCGCAGTGGATTAGGGAGTGGCTGTGTGACTACCCAGTGTCTATTGAGCTGCTCAAATGCCATTTTCACATTCTTATTAAATTAGATTCACCAGGGTGGACAAGGGCAATGGCATTCTAATATGTATAGACCCATTGCTAATCATCACTGGAAATGAGCTTATCTCTTGAATTAGCCCACAGATTTGAAAATGTGCTATCCTTTCCCACCTCTGTCCCTCTCCCTCTCCCTCTCTGTCCTCCCCACCTCTCCCCATCCGTTTAAGGACCTTTTTTGCTTGACTCGTCTTATCGCGTGAACAATAATGTTTTAATGGAGAGAAGGAGAAGACAAAATACGTATTTCTGGCTCCACTTAGGCTCTTTTTCATAAATACCGTTTCCATGCCACTTGCCAATGAAATGACAGTGAGCTCTGTCGCTCTTACTGTCACGACGGGGTGGTGACGTTGGCACTGCCCACAGGAAGCAGCGTAGCTTTGGGGGTGCTGCTGCCCGTTTCGCCCCCAGGCCCTGGCTTCTAGATTCAAATTCTTTCAGTATTCGCCTTTTAAAGTACAGTGATAAACCTGGCAATAGGGAAGAGATGTTTCTTGGCAGACAGACACATGGCTGTCCCAAAGCCAGGCATCCCTCTCTGTAGCCCGTGTGGACGGCCTCTGGTAGCTCCACTTTCCAGGGCTAAACAAAGAGGACGAGGCGAGGAAAGCCCTTTCAAGCCCAGCCATGTAGGGCCGTCTGCTTCACCTGTCAGCAGCCGGCCTCATGGTTCTATTGATCTTAATAATAGAGCATATATTCAATTACCGTTGTGGACTCTGCATTCAGCAAGAAGGATGTCCATCAGAAAGCGTTCAAAATGCAATTTGGCGCTGGGGCTGATCGGGTTACTGGGGAAAGGTCTGTGTAGGATGGCAAGCAGGGGGTAGCTGAAG